TGAGGAGAAGGCCCCGATCTTTCCCCGAGCATCCCGGCATCGCGGATGGGAAGCCTTGGGAAAAGATGGACATAGACCAAAAGACGTGGCAAGAGCGAATGGATAACGCCCAGTGTTTGAAATGCGGGACCGCAGGGCATGTGATAGCCTGGTATCCGCTTATACGAAACCCAAAAGCCAGTCGCCAGTAGAAGTAACATCCGCTTCTACTAAGTTGAAGGATTCAGGAATAGAGAAAGGTAAGGCGCCTACTAACCCTTTCAATCCTTCAACTCGCAGGGCAGAGGATGATCCTTTTCCAGCCCCTCGTCCAGATCACCCTGAACCTGTCTTATGTTCCATTTTTCTGGACGACTCCCTTGACGAGCTGAGCAACGAGTTGCTAGCACTGCGAAGCTCGTGGGCTAAGAAAGCAAAGTCTAAGGGTGAATTACTACTCGCTGATATAGAAATCGCACACGTACGCGCGGGTGCACTGTTAGATTCAGGATCTACACGATCCTATGTTTCCGAGAAGTCTATCAAAAAGCTACATCTCGGAATGAAGGTAAAAGACTTGTCTCAACCCATCACGTCTATCTTAGCAGACAAGAGCACGATCACTGTCTCTCAGTATGTCGATCGTGTAAAATGCTATTTCCGCACGAGGGACAGAAAGAGGATTGCACATGAAATCTCGTTTTTGGTAGAAAAGAGCTTGCCCTTTGATATGATTCTGGGAATGGATTGGCACGAGGAGGCCAACCCAGAAATCAATTTCAAGGATAAGGTAATACAACTACGAGATGTACAATCCGAATTGAAAACCATTAAGTTGTATCATAAGTCTGGCTCTGACTCTAACTTATCGTTCTGTTGCATGAGTTATCCAGCTTTTCGATCCATGGTCAGGAAGAAGAAATTGGACTCTGGGAAGTTCTCAAAGTAATAGGAGATGAAGAAGGACCTTCTTATCGAATTGACATCCCTTCTCATCTCAGAACTTATTCTGTTTTTCATGCGTCTAAATTGTTGCCCTATGTAGAAGGAGATGATTTTCCAAACAGACCATCTATGAATCCCCCATCCATGGACGGACAATATGAGATTGATAGGATCATAGAACATGGGTTTTTCTCTACAGGAGCACGGGGCAGACCACAAAAGCAGTTCAAAGTACGTTTCAAATTCCAACAACCATCAGAGGATCGATGGTTTAGTAAAAAAGAACTGCTTGAAACCGCACCAGATATTGTCGCTGSCTATGAACGAGGGTTAAGATTATAATTATTTCTGCAGTGGAACTCGAAAGCGGGACGGCAGGAATTTAATAACCCTGTTCAGCAGTCGACCTGGGGCCCAAACCTTAGCCCCAGGCCACGCAGTCTGTGGAAGACTGCGCCGGGCTGTGTAACCAACACATGCCCCGGCCTGAGTAAACTGCGTACGGCTGTGGGACCGAACGCCAAGCCTTAGGAAAATCAAAGGTAAAAGTCAACTGTCAGTCAAAGTACCATGCCAGGTCTTGGATCAGATTCATTCACTTGTTGAGTGCAGGTACCCAGACTACGACCCAGGCCAAAGAAGATACAGTTGCAGATCTATCCAGACCCTCCAGGCAGGGAGATCTGGACGGATGAGGTTGGATACTACCGGGGATCAGACCCCGAGTCAACACTATAAGAGCATTGGCTCCTTGACTTTGGGGAGTCTGGCTGTCTTGCGTTGACGCTGTTTTCAGCGCCTGACTCTCGCAGCCTTGGTTTGACGCTGCGAGACTGGAGGAAGGCCGGCATTTGCTGACATGGTGAGTTACCGCTGGCTGGCTTGCTATCTGGCTGGCGACTGTCTCTGATCTGCTGACGTGGCAGTCGCCACGTATTGCTGCTGACGTGGCAYTGCCACGTGTCGTACTGTCGGATCCTTACGACCGGCTATTGATCATCGGCTTCGTTACTTCAAGGAGGGGTCGTGACTATTCGGGATGAGATCAGGACTTGTGAGGTGTTGTGAATACGTACCTGATGTCTTCATGACGACGAGGCTCCAGCGCTAATTAATGTATTGATCGGTGCCACGTGGCACCCGGAGGCTGAGTCTCTAATTTGTATTCAGATCATTGCTGATGTGGGGTTGTTGTCGTAGGAGGAGCCCGGAGAAGGAGTGGGCCTTATCCCTCTCCCTTGTCTAATCTCCCCCACCTCTCTTCGTCCGTGTATGATTATCTCACCCCCCACTTTCTTACTGGATACTATTGTCGTTGAAGATCTATCATTGGTTCGATAATCTTGGCTTTCAGTGTCGACATTGTATCCACGACTTGGGTTCATTGCAGTTACTGATTTCTATCCAGTCCATACCTGGCGGGGGAACATATTGAACAACAAGTTTGACGCTATCGCTGCAAACTAGCATAAGCATTAATTGACAGTAAATATTCTGCCACCTTTCCTCTGGCAAAGTAGGGAATTCCATTTTGAGGTTACCCAGTAGCCAGTCAGCAATCTTAGATAGTTCCTTGCTTAAATCTGATGCCCCACCTGAGACACTCCCTTCTGGAACCAAGGGTTTGAGGGGGAGACAGCTACTGGGGCACTTTCCACTTCCATCAGATGTGTGCCAAAGGCATCGTTGAGAATATCCACTTCCATCAGGTCCGATTTCTCATCCGGACTTGCAGATTCCTGGGCCTCTTCTACCCCCTCTGTCTCAGCTGCTGCTGATTCATTTAAATCATTCAATATATTCAAGTTGCTCAATTAATTTCATTCCCTCTATGCAATTTTTCCTCGTTCTGCTGTGGATATCCTGCCTGTGCTGACTGTGCCGGTGACTGTTTTGGCTGTTGTTGGGCAGCCTTCAGTTTCCATGCATTCTTCCTTCTCACCTCCTTCCATTCAGCAGCAGATGGATGACCATTTTTTAGCAAGTAAGAAGCTGGGTCTGGACCGACCATTTTGCTTTTTCCTGCTTGCTCAGCCATTTCATCAACCTGGGAGATTTTGTGTGACCCTTGAGAAATACTTCGTGTATTGTTCTCTTTAATAGTGGTTCCACCATTCCCACCAATCCCACCAATCCCACCATTCCCACCAATTTCCCCAGTCACATGTGATCCAGGCGTTCCTGTTGGTCCCACGGGCTTAGACCCCTTGCGAGCTTGAGCCTTTTGGGACTTTTGGGGCTGCTGTGACTGCTGTGACTGTTGAGACTGCTGGGATTGCTGTGACTGCTGAGACCGTTGTGATTGCTGGGACTGATGGGATCGTCGGCCTCTTCTAGGACGCAGCTGTTGCTGAGGTGGCAACCAGTCTGCTGGTGGCCAGGGAGTCTTGCGCATCTCACCCCTGCCATCCCAAACCCCCAACCAATTGGTTGTCCCATCGGGTTATGCTCCTAACTGTATACCCATCCCTCATGCCCAGGTACAACTAGGATCCATTTATGTGACCTTTGTGGATCACGCTTGAGTCTTTGCTCTGGGGGGAGCACATACTGCGGATGTTGAGGACAAGCAAATTACGTACTTAGGTGACTATAAGCCCTGCGTTGAAAATACCAACGAACGGAATTTATGTGTCGTGTGGATCTGATAGATTCTCCCTCCCATTTTGAAAGGGATAATGTCGTCTAAAAAGAACGATTGATCTTTTGGTAACTCTATCGCCAGCATCTGGTAATCATCCCTCTTAGCCACAGAAGTTGGCAGGGGATCAATGAAGTCCACAATTTAACTGTTGTCCAAAATCGTGGATGAACGCTGCTTGTACTTCTATTGGGATGTGATGTAGCTCAACCCAATAGAAATCCCTCATCAGTTGTTACCGTCACTCTTTCGGTCCTACCTTCTTCGTCAACTGGGGGTAAATCCTCACATCAGATCCATCTCAACTTTCTCCATCCATCCATTTGGCGCGTGTCATGGTCAAATAGACAAAGAATCGTGAACACTATAGGCGAAACCGGTTGAATTAAGAAAAACTCACAGACTACTTTCGCTCCCTCCTTCCTTGCTTCCAGTCTTTTGCATATCCACTTGATCTTGTTGTTCATTGACCTATACGCACCGTGATCATGAAATATCTAGTTACTTGCATGTTTTGTGTACACTGCGTCATGATTTGCCAAGTTATCAGTGGGATAGGATTTCATTAGGGTCTTTCTCCCGCCTTGATCAATCACAAGCTGTTCTGAGGGAAGGAGGAAGAGACACGAGGAAGTAAGTACGTACGGACGACAAGTTTCTTAAGGGTACTTTCAGTTCTTCTGCACGCGATCCTGGTGGACTGATAGGTGGACGCCTGATGTTGAGCGTTTTGTCCAGCAAGGCGTCTCGTGCTCTTTTGGCCCACGTTGGTTGATTGACCTTGTGCTGTGGAACAAAAGTTCCTGCCTGAGATTGCAGAGACAAATGCAGTGATTGTGATTATTATGACGATTGAGACAATTGTGACAGTTGGGCAACATCTGATTTGAGATTCATTTCACGATGTACCTCAGTTCTTTCATTTACTCCTTCATTCGCCTGTTTTTCTTCAGTGAGCACTTCACCCTCCCCGTTTGCCACTTCTTGCATTTCCAAATCCTTCCTTATATTTGCGCGATCCAGGGCTTCCACCCCTCCCTACTGACTAGGATGATATGGAGATACCAACCTCATCTGTTTCCTTTCTCCCTCCTCCCTCTCCGCTGTCCGAGCCCTCACTTCTTCAACAATTGTTCCCATCTTTTGTCCTCTAGTCAGTGGTGGATGACCTGTACCTTCCCTATTGTCGCCCGCCTGTCCTGGTGCTAATTATGCCCCAATGCTACAAATTTCCAATTCGGAATCCTTGGTTAGCCCCCCTCCCCCCCTCTCCCTCCCCCCCGTCTGGGTTTTTTTTTTTTTTTTTTTTTTTTTCCAGCTTGGCGTGGTTGGATACCTGAATATCAGTAAGGTGCCCATCCTGGACACTCCTGACCACCTCATTCCAGTGGCATCGCTGTTTGCAGATGACCTGGCAGTTCTTATCCGAGCAGACGCCAATAGCATAAGAGTTCTCACTCAGGTCATTCACCTTTTCTCACTAGCAGCAGATATGAAGGTCAATCGGGGATCGAAAACTGAGGGTTGGTGGCTCCAACCTCAAGGTGAACCCCTGCCACAACAGCCGGCAGTAGCCTGAGCATGCAAGGAAGAGGCTATCAGAATTCTCGGGGTGAGACTGAAAGCAGTTGGGCCCCCGCCTGACCATGGGGACACGGTACTGAATATGGCGATAGACAGACTGGCTAAGTGGGCAGGACTACAAACCTCACTAGTCAGAAGGGCTTTAGCAATAACTAGCCGCATTTTAGCAGCAATATGGTATAAATTGGCAGTCTGGCCATTGAAGTCGCAACAGTGGGCTAGACTGAGGAAAGCACTCTCAACATACCTACGGAAAAAACAGTGCCAAAGAATAGGGATGCGTGCAGCGGGTGAGCTGGGATGTCCTCACGCAGCCAAGAAGTAAAGGGGGGCTAGGGATACTGGATCCGGAAAAGGAGAGTGATGCACTGATTTTTAAAGTCCTAGTACGGCTGCTTGTAGGTAATGACATCCCATGGGGCCAGCTGGCCTGCTTCCAGATTGTTGGCCTGGCCCCGGAGTCAACACCGAACAATGGGACCGTTTAGATGGCTGACCAATAAATATCGGTCAATACCCTATCCCTCGCAGAACATCCGCATCAGCAACCTTCAGCAAGCAGCCTGAATGGACCTCCACCTGGATCCCATGTGGACATATTTGCTGAAGCTGTAGAGGAAGTGTGGTCCGCTCCAAAAGCGGCCCCCCAACAGATGGCAAGACATATGGAGGCAACCGCTGTTCGACAATCCCTGCATCTTGGATGACGAAGGCAACCCATTTGGTCTTACAACAAACTCACCTTGGCTCTCCGGGGCTCAAAAAAGAGTTTCCACAGTTGGTGTCGCAAACCAGGATGGTACAGACCAGAACCAAGAACCAACCTCTTTTTTTTTTTTTTTTTTTTTTAAATAATAACCGGGCCCGGTGCCTAAGGCTGATATTACCAATAATAAGATTGAGGCCGGGGTCCTCACAGTCTGCCCGGAGTGATCGAACCGAAACTACTGAGAACCGGGCTCAGCATCCCTCAAATGGATATGATGATGACCATGATGATAATGATGCTAATGAGAATGATGATTCAAATATATGAAAAAATATCGAAGATTATGCTATATCAGTTATTTTAGCCTCCTAATCCTAGTACAACTCTTAGCCCTTCCTGTACCAGGACACTGTACCTCAGAGACAAAACTAACCTAACCAACATCAACAATAACTGATATCTTCTTGCCTCCTTGCAGCCCCCCCCGGTTCACCACTGGAATGCCTTCCACCCTCAGCAAGCCCCAGATCTCTCTGCAAGGCCTCACACTCCTGCCATTTACAGGTTACAGGGCAACGCCCCAGCTCCGGCCAGCTTCGTTCTGGCATCGGTAAACCAAGGGCACAGAACAGAGCAACTCAGTAGATATCAGTCCAGGTTCAACCATCTCTGAAGTCTTATATCCCGGATGTGGAAGAATGCTAGATGCTGCCAAAATTTCAGAACACCAAAAAGCTTAATATAACAATAATCAGATGATGATACTGGTGATGTGATGACGATGATGATGATGATGATGATGATGAGTATGCTGATTATGAATTTTTTTTTTTTTTTAATGATGAAAATAATGATGATGATGATGATTAGTATGTAAAATTATAGAAGACTATGCTATATCAGCAATTCTAGCCTCCTAATCCTATAACAACTCCTAGCCCTCCCTGTACCAGGACATTACATCTCAAAGACAATGCCATCCTAACCAATGTCAACCATAGCTGACCTGTTCTCGCCACCTAGACTATCCCTGGACCCATAGGTTGTCAAGGCATCCCCCCCCAAGTTCGCCACTGAATTGCTTTCCTCCCTCAGCAAAACCCAGATCTCTCTACAAGGCCTCACAATCCTACAATTTGCAGATTACAGGGCAACACCCCAGCTCCGGCCAGTGTCGTTCTGGCATCAGCAAACCAGAGGCATAGAACAGAGCAACTCTGCGGAAATCACTCCAGATTCGACCATCTCTGAAATCCTATAAGAGCCACCAAGAATTACCGAACACCAAAAAGCTTGATATAGCATCAATGAAGACTGTGGAATTCTGTCTTTTTTTTGTGAATAAAGATACGTTAATTTAAACTTTGAAAGTCTCCTCCCCTCCCTCCTTTACTCATTACCCCTTTGTCCCTTTGTTGCCTCCACCGAAAACAGTCCTCCAATGTAGGACCTCCTTTTCAGCCCCAACTTGGAACAACCCCTCTCTTCCTCTCTATAATCCAAGAGACATTCAGCTCCCACCAGAAGAATGCCCCTGCAAACCCCTTACCCTATTCTGCCCCCGCTGAGGCTATCCACCCCAACCCCAGAATAGAGCAACCCTCAACTTCTGCACACACCCTCTTCAGAGCGCCACCTACCTCCTTGTGACACCCCTGCAGAGTACTGCTCTCCCCACCTTTCCACCCGTACCACGAACTTCGAAACAACCGTCACCATCCATCCACGGAGGAAAGTGAACTCCCATATGATTGAAACATAACTTAGCAAGATCACCAACGAAATTACTACTTAAACGATTCTTTTTTTTTTGAGTTGAAGATAATTAGTTAATAATGCAATAGGATTATGAAAATCTCATTCATAGAGAACTATGAAATATGGAGAAGTAAACAAGGAAAAATTAATCTAAAATGAATTAGAACTTTGGTATTCAAAAATACCATATCGAAACGTACATTAATAAGAAATCTAGGTATTTAAAAAATACCTTCCCGATTAATAAAATAGGAAATAAGATGCTAATGTTGATGATGATGATGATGATGATGACGCACCAATGATGATGCTGCTCATGATGATGATGATGATGATGATGATGATGATGATGATGATGATGATGATGATGATGATGATGATGATGACGCACCAATGATGATGATGCTCATAATGGTGATGATGATGATGATGATGATAATGATGATGATGATGATGATGATGATGATGATGATGATGATGATGATGATGATGCACCAATGAAGATGCTCATAACGATGATGATGATGTCAGTAGTGCTGCTGATGATGATGATGATGATGTTGATGATGATGATAATGACGATGATGCTGCTGATGATAATGATGATGGTGAGATGATGATGATGATGATGATGATGATGATGATGATGATGATGATGATGATGATAATGATGATGATGGCAACCGCCGATGATGATGATGATGATGATGATGATGATGATGATGATGATGATGATGATGATGATGATGACGGCGATGATAAAACCGAAGCTCGTGATGAAGATGCCCTCTTGCGAGCTGATGATAAAGTTGTCGCTGACGAACATGCTGATGAAGAAGCCCACTTACTAACTAATGTTGTCCCAATAAGATGACGCAGAACCTTTCTTAAAACAAACGCGCTAGATACGAGCTGAGAACCTGAATATCACTTCCCTCCTTATCTCCCTCCATTCGTCCTCCCATCTCATGGGACACACTGTACTCTCCTCCCTCTTGCTGCGAGCCGACCTCCTCCACCAAATTATGCAAGATGAAGAGTACCAATGATTCTTCCTGAAGCAAGCCTCGTAAGAAAAACTTGCTCCCCCTTACACAACATGCTAGCCCGTAGCATTCCTCGTGACAGGCACAAGACGGCGAGATGGCACTACGAATGCTTTCAAATGTTAGGAGATAGAGAGGTGAAGTATTCACCCCCTCGATCATCTCACAGCTTCGCCCAGCATACCACGTTCGTTGAAGATCCAGCCCCCGCGCCACTCAGCAATTCCACACTCGAATTTCATAGCACGGCCTAAATCTTCGATATCTCATGATCCACTCAACCATTTGGTCTGAAATTTGGACCACCTCAGCTCCTCAATATAGACCACCGGTGGTCCAAATTTCAGCTCAGGGCGCGCGCCCAATCGCGCACAATCGTCGAGCGCGCGCGCGCTATTTTCCTTGCTGCGTACAGATTTCCAGCACGCGCAGCTCCGTTGCAGTAACTTTGATTGATGATTGATACTGCCGGGGTGCAGCGCTCCCGGTAGCGCTGCGCCCCCCAACCAACCTCTCATAGATAGTGCAAGATAGCACAGTGGAAGACTGGAATACCAATGATCAGACCCAATCAATGTCGAAATGCAGATTGGACATACATCACCAGGCACCACACACAAGGACAAAGGCGCCAGGCACAAGGACGAACGCGCCAGGCACAACTCATAGACAGACGAGGAGGAAAGGGAAGAGAGGAAGAAGAGTGGCGGAGGAGCTGAGAATGTCGTCAACCCAAATGTGGTTGATATGACTCCCAGATAGTCCCCAACAACGTCCCTG